AGACAGACCACAAGCTCTTGGCTCCTCAGAGAAGTCAGCTGGAAATGATTTATGGCAGCAGTGTTAATAGCAGGTCTTCAGTGCAGCTGCCCCAAACCAAACCCAACGCGATGACGTTAATCGGGTAAAAACTCTCTCCCGCATGTAGCTGTGGCGACCACAGCAATCCCACTGCACGTGAAGGGTAAATAACTCCATGCCTAGCCCAGAAGACAACGTCTACATTTGCAGACACAGCATTTAAATTTGCCTGTGGCTAAAATTACAGGGCTACAGGATGCCACTTGCAGAAGGGATGGCGTACTCGTGTATCTCCTCCCTTCATTTGCCTATATCTCAAGTATTTCTATGGCATCAGTCTCTATAGTATCCAAGCACCCATTTACTTACAATCCCCCCAAAACAAGATGCAAAATTATACAGGAGCATAGAGAGGAATTATAATACATGGCAGGATCAAGGGGCTTTGAGGCCTCTGCTGAGTGTGACATGTATAAGAGCCCCCAAAATATCACATTGTTAGATCTTGAAGAAGCAGAAGCCAAGTATTGCCACTAACTACCAACACAATTATAACTGTGGAATAATGATTTACTAAGGAAAATGATTCATTCTGCATTTTTTAAATCTTCCTGATTTAGAAGTCATATTCTATCTTTCAAAATGAAGCTTCCAAAAAAAAACCCCCAACCCCACTAAAAGATGTAATCAATTTATTTTCCCCAAATGCTCAAAAATATTTTAGAAACTGGCATCGTTTTAAGGGTGGACCTTACCATCATGTATGATTCACATGCACGGAATTTTAAGCGGCTGTGAGCAGTGTGAAACAAGGCACCAGATGGGGACACCAAGTAGAGAACTCCAGACCCCTAATGCTCCATGAAGGAGTCCAAGGAGTCAGCGAACTGTGCCCAGAGGATCTTGGCCTGGATGCATGAAGTGGCCAGGGAATGGAAAAAGGCCCCACAGTCACAGAGAACCCCCCCCCATCCAGCTTCCTCCTCCTGGACTGATGGATGGCCAGAGCTTGGAAGAGCCTGACAAGGAGGTTTCGCGCCTTTGTGGAGCCGCAAATGGGGCATGTAGACAGGAACAGTTGTGGGGGAAAGCATGGCCAGAACCTCACTCGGCCTGGAGGAGCTGAAAGAGGGGCTGCAACGTGGCACTCTGCAGGTTGGCCAGGATCTCCCTCTCACCACAGCAGAGGAAGGCATCAGAGATTTCCGTGAACGGTGCCTGCCACACACCCATGCTAACAGCCCTGTGCAAGAGCCACCAGCTGATAACCACAGCAGGCCACAGGACCAGAGCTGCATGAAGGCTCACCCTTGCTAGATGGAAAGATGTCCTGCCATTTAGTATCAGGGCGGGACATGAGAGCAAGGAAGTGCACGCCGTGGAGAGCAGACACATAGAGATGTTCCTGGGGTGTGACTCTGAAGCAGGCCAGCTGGATGGCATTCAGCCTGGCTGGGCGATATGATGGGGGCAGTCAGCAAGGTGGTTGTGAGGTAGGAGCCTGATGTTGAGTTCTGAAGGCCAGTGGCTATGGGAAGGTGGAGAACACCCGTTTCACAGGACCTGCTCAAGGCACAGAAGAGAGGCTGCCCAGCCTCTATCTCCTAGAGCACACAGCAGGGGACACGAAGTGTGTGCCCCCCATGGTTGACCCCGTATTACCGGCCATAGTCCAAAGGTCTCTTATCCTGGTGATATTAGCCGGGGCCAGCCTCCAACACACCAAGGACACCCCCAGCACCTGCACAGGAAGACAGAGATTATGCAGCAAGGACTCAGCAAGGAGGTCCTCCCCCTTGGCGTGGATCCCCTGCCATGGACATGGTTGTGTTGGTTCACATGCACAGGCATGATGGTTCTGGCGACTGAAGACATATTTATTCATAGAGCAGGCAGAGTCCCCATGCAGGTTCCCCCTCAGCCCTGACTTGGAAGGACCATGCATAGAGGCAAAAAGGTCCATCCGTCTTTAGACATTTTCAATCCATGGCTGCTTGGAGACACTACCAACAAAAGGGCTAACCCAAGGGAGCGGGTGTGGCTAAAGGCCTTTGGCTCAGTCTAGCTTGACAAATGACCAAGTGGCACGACGCTCAGATACAGGAGAGGCTGGCAAATGAAAGCGATTCTCCACAGCCACATTCTGGTTGGGCCTTGCTGAGGTCACGCCTGGTCACAAACTCACAGCAAGGCTCTCATTGACTCAGCAGGAGCCTGACCCAAAGCCCATTGAAGTCACCGGAGACACCTTCTCTCTTCATCTTCCGTCTCTCCGCTGGACCATTTCAATCGTTGTCACAGGATCAGCTGCTAAACCTGCAAACCCCTTTTCCGCAACCTCCCGGGGCCAGGTGCCTCTTTCTAGCAGGCAGCTGCTGTCCTTCAAATAGTCACCCTTACTAACAAACAAATTGAGCACCCTGAACCTCTATCTCCAAATTCAAGGTGTCATTAAACCTGCCCCATGTCTGCAACAACCACTGACCGACTTACGGTTCCCCGTCAAAGGGATACTACAGCTTTCCCAGGCAGTCCAGCCAGCCTCATCCTCAACCACGCTAGGGACCCTTCTATGTCACCGTTCCAGCAAAGCACTTAAGCAGCTGACTAATCCCATTCAAGTCAAGCACATGCTTGAAATTAAGTATATGCTTAAATCCTTTGCTGAATCAGGGAATAAATGCGTTTCCCTCCCCCACAATAGGCCCAGATGCCTATTAAACAGCAGATGGTGGCCCTCTGGCCATGTTGAACTCTCATAAAAACAGACACTCCCCGCTTTAGGAATAAAAAGTAAGTATTATGCCAGAAACTGCCGCTGAAAGGGAAGACAAGAACATAAATTTCAAGGAGGGAGAAAGACCTAAGACATACAAGGAACTTTAAAAGACAAAAAAAGGTAGGGAAAAATAATTGTATACAAAAGAGGCAAGAAAAAGGAAGCTATAATTTTGTTCTCTACTTATGTCTGCTGTCCTTAACAGACTATTTTTTTAATAGGGGAGGACTACCTATCCTTGACCCCCGAAATACTGCTCTTTTAAAAGAAGTTTAAAAACACCAAGATGTAAAATGAAGGAGCTAATAAGGAATAAACCACACCAGAAGGTGTGCACGAGGCTCTCTTTCTTGAGTACATAAACGCCACCTGCTGGGGGATATACATTTGTGGCTTATTGCTATATTTATCACCCCATCTATGAGGGTTATTAAAAGCTGTGTTTCACATGCTCTTTTCCTGGTACTAATCCTCAAAGGTGAATAATTTATACATTTGACTTTTTTCTTGTCAACAAAAATACCCGAAGGTCGTGTCTAAACTGGGGAAATAGTCCCAAAGATTCAAATCCGTTTGAAAACTGGCTGGAGCCACAGTGGAGACAAGCAACCAGAAGCTGCTTTTTAGAGGGTTAGGTGGTTCTTAGCACTGGCACCTTGTCTATGTGGCAGCTCTGAACAAGTCCGAATTAGGGAAAACTACAGTAGAGGCAAGAGTCAAATCTTCATTTTTGGAGTATTTACTCAATTTAGGCAGACTGAAGGAAAGTATTGGCCTGTTTCATACTTTCAGCATCGGTCACTCTCCATTTAACTGCAGAACAGCGTTGTTCACACCGTTGCTGAATGTCTGTGCAAAGAGCTGTGCTTCAATGTGATATATGGTGAAACTGTAATTGCACTTAGAAAGCTTCCTGTTATCTAAGGCACACACTAACTGCGGCTTCTCCGTGGGGACATTAAAATCAAAACAAACAGTATTTACCGGTCCACTTTTTAGTGACAGGTCATTTCTTCTTTCTTGTTAAGAGTTGCACGAACCTGTCATTTGTGTTCGACCAATGGAACTAACCAACCCCATCTTCCACCCAGGAAAGGAGCAGGCTAAGCTAGAATACCCTCATACTTTGCACAAAGTTTTAAAACAGGGAAGTTAACTGAAAACCAGTTTGCCAGCAGGGGAAAGTCAGGACAGCAGCTTACATCCAGTCCAGCCTGACCTATTTCACCAACTAAGGCAGGACTTATGGCACATGCCATTGGGACATGCAACAGGTGCCAGTGAAAAGTGTTTGACTCCCAGCCCGTATTTCCTACGGTCTCTCTAGAGTCAGTATCTCCAGCCACACCCACCCATTGGGGTGCACATGACTCTGCCTGAAAATATTCTAAAAGAATCCCATCTCTAAGGCAGTTCGCTGCACTAGGACTTACTAACAACTAAATGTTTGCAATAGCTGGCCTGTAGACAATCACTAAGATGATTCCTAAAAATTCCTTTGGCTGTGGAAGTTTCAGTGTCTAATAGCTTAGGCCCCAGTAGAAAAGTCAGAGAGTCAAACCAGGCCAAACTTCAAGCTTTCCAGCTGTTGAGTCCAACCTGCCTTTCTCTACTGAGATCTATACTCATTCCTATACACTCATTATGTAAGCCCTTTCCCATGCACCCTGGGAGGTATCTAGCTACTGCTAAATAATCAGGTCATGTTATATGAAGTAGGGCCCCATATCAGTCATGGAGGTTGCCGAACTCATAGATTCCGTGACCTTCTGCAACCTCTGACACTTCTGCAGTGGCCAATGGGCTGTCCAAGCAGCCGGCCCCAGAGCCAGCCACAGCGGGGCTGCTGGAGCAGCCCCGAAGCCAGCCACACGGGCCGCTGCTCAGGTGGCCCTGGGGAATCGCCGGAGCAGCGGTGAAAGGAGCGGCCTCAGGTGGTGCTGCTGGCCGCTAGAGCCCCCCTCAGATCAGCACCCCCTCCCCCAGTTAAGATTTAGTCAAGGGTAGTTTTAGTATAAGTCATGGATAGGTTACGGGCCGTTAGTTTTTGTTTATTGCCCGTGACTTGTACTAAAAATACCCCTGACCAGATGGTAGCCTTAACAATAGATAGGCCCTTGTGGATTTTAAAAAGCCACAAGATATTCACTGCCACTTTAGTTTAAAATGTCATTCAACATTTTTCCTTTAAGAAGACAGACACAGTCAGAACTATTTTATTAATTGTATTGTTACAATGTAAGTATTATTTTGCATTGACAATGGCTGCTTAGCCTTGCTTTGACACTGGAAAATGGAGCTAACCCAAAATGTGTGTTCAAAATTCACTAAGAAAACAGGAATCAATCCCCAATAGAATGAAAAGGGTAGTCTGACTTTTATAAAATCGATATTCAAACATTATGAACACAAACAGATATAAAGGACAGGTTCTTGTTCACATACCTTTGTTACATTGCAAGCTTAGGCTAGTAAGCCTCGATAAACAACCTTGGGAATGCAGTAATTCGGTACAGATGAAAGGAAGAAATGTTCACAGAACAAACCAGTGCATTGTGAAAGTATGACCGTAAGATTTACAAAGGTGAGCAAAAGTACATGAGGCTGGCCTATGATCTCTAAACACAGCATTTGCACAAACAACAATAAGCACAAATGCAAGCTCTGCGACACTAAATCAGGATTCACACAACTCAGAATAAATTACTCTTATGTCTGAGAGGCAATTTTTGAACTAGTTCAATCATTTGCCTGTAGAGCAGGAATGTGTTCGGAAAGGTGGAAAAAAATCAAAGACAAGTTACGCAAGTGTTACCCTGGCAAGAGAAACACTAGAGTGTGGTCACTTTAACAAGAAAACACAGCTTTTAAGTGAAGAAAAATCAGTGTAAATTGGCAAAAAAAAGATCAAGAATATGTTTTATATATCATACAAATTTAGTTGTTTAAAACTAACATCTGCAAGCAGCAGCTACATTTAGACATACAGAAGGCTATGTTGAACTGTATTTCAAATCTAGAATAAGCACTTTTCCATATTGAGAACATGCAGCTCTATCCGCCTCCTTTGCCTTCTCTCAAATCCTCTCCAAAATTAAGTGCAAGTTTCACTGCTGAATGAAGCGTGCCACTTATCAAATAAAGTGCTGCTTCTTTCTAGTACATCATACATTATTGCTTTATTTTACTGATAACAGACAGTGAGCTAGACTCTACAGCATTTAAGGCAATTCCCACAAAAACATCCTAAGGGTATTATATGGGATATACACTTCATTTCACACACTACACTCATTTTGATATTTTAAAATGTAGGAACAGATTCATCTAAAAAGTTGACCAAAACAGATTTGATTTACATTGTTGTAGTTACACTTTTACTAAGGTAACAGCACAAGTGCCAACACAGAATGGAAAATATTTTTGCTTAGGATAAATCAAACCAACAGCACCAAAGATAAATAAAAAAGACTAATAGGAAGTACTAGGACACGTTTTATAGCTGATCATTTTCTTGTGAGAATTTCCCTGGAGGATTTGTTTGACAGCAGAATATATCTGGTGAGTTGACTCATGTTTTCCCATCACAGTATGCAGGTTGATTAAAGATCTGACTGACACACAAATGCATATTTTGTGTTATTTATTGCCAAGAAATCTTCTCAAGACATGACTTAGACACTTAAGCTGTCCCTCCCTTATGACTTTCAATGTATTAAATCAACAGCAATATTTGCAAATGCTGAGCAAGTTTGTTGTGATGTTACTACTCCACATCCCTTGGACATTCATTAATAGCTACTTGTTCTCTGTTGAAGTAATTAGTAATATTGTTAAAACATTTCTGGCTTCAAAGTGCCAATTTGCAGTGAAAAATTAAAAATGGCATCAGTATTTCCATTAGTGGAGCCTCTCAGTGGTTCCAGACCAAATTTACTGTTTGCAAATGACAAAGATGTTTAATCTGCTAGCACCGCAAATTCACTAAGATGAGGACTAGCAAGAACGGAGTCACATTTGTTTGAAAATGCTGCACCTACTATACACAGCAATCTTTCACTTGCAATCACCACTTCAGAAGTTAGCAACAGAAATCTTCATTTTCTTTGGCTCGCTAATACACAATTCCAGTATTAACACACACAGATATACATATATAGATATATATAAAAACAGAAAAACCCTTAGAAGGATAAGGAGATATATTAATTTCAGGGCATAGCATTTAAAATGGCACTCTAAGAAACTGGACTTTTTGTAAATTAGTCAATTTTAAAAAAATTTCAGGGTGACACATGTTCCTTGAAGTATACAGTAGGCACACAACCATGCTCATAAGAAGATGTGGTTGAATCATGACAGCTTTAGTTCCATACAGCAGGATGAACTGATGGAACTGGCACTTAGGCAGAAAACGCTATTTGTAAACTAAGCCAGTTTGAGCTGGAGTCATTGAGACAGACAGGGAATTGCCAGATGCCATTTGAAATCAGTTTTCAGAGTAGAAGAATTACACGTTTCATTGAGAAGCTCAGAACTTGTGTATCTCCTTTGGGGCATTTAAGAGCCTTCTACTCCTGTTAAAAAGAGGCAATGCAACTGACAAGAGATTTCTGTGTAATGCGAGAGAGGGATTTCGTATTAGCTTCACAATGCACATGAGGGACCTTCATTTTGCGGTTGAATAATTATAGGTACTGGCCTTTGCTGTTCTCAGCTTTCACTACAGTAGGGTGACTATGAGGTCAGAAGACACTGTAGTCAAGATTACTCATTTCAACAGATTGATATGGAGCATCACTGTCTTAACTGAAAGCCACAAAAGCTTTAAATAGTCACAGAAAATGCTTAGGACTATTTCAAAGAGTTTGTTTTATAGCATATTATCTTTTAGGTTTTATTAAAGGTTCTGTTTCCATGAGATATCACTAAAAAAACAAACAGTTCCTTAAGCTAATATGAAGCAGGCAAACTCTTTACTGGATCAGAGCACAGGGAATGGAGTGTGCATACTACCATGGAAAAGAGATCATTGCTGACCATTCCTATGGAAATCATTTCTTTAACTCCTGAGAACCAGCTTTCCATTTGTTTTAATAAGAAGGTTAGACTTATCCGTGCTGTAATGCAGCAGAAGTGAAAATAAATACAGTAGCTTCATTATAGTGGCCCTGGAAAGCAAGCAACCACAAGGCCTGTGATATTTGAAAAGAAAACTTGTGCCTCTAGGCCGGGACACAGTGCTGAATGTCCTCTGCACAATAAAAACAGCAGAAAATGAGATGCTCTGAACACAAAACTCTGGAAATGTCTCAACTTAGGACTTGGCAAGAGTAACTATTTTAAGCGAGGTTTTTCACACTAAATGTTTAACAGGAGAGAGTGTGCTATTTCTGTTTGAACGTGGAAGATCAGGCAGCCTGCTTTCTTCACCTATAACACATGCTCGTATACTTTAGTTATCTAGGATACATCCAAATAAAAAAAATGAAGCATTTTTTTATTTGACTGTAAGAGTAGAAAAATACCTTTCCACTCAAGAGTTCAGAAGGAGAAAAGCCACCAAGAAATTAAATTTCTTCAAATCATATTTTTAAGTCGTATTTGTAGTTTTTCCTCCAGCCTGGGATATACAAGATTTACCTACTGCACAGAGGATGAAAATTGGTTAAAAAGAGAGGGGAAAGAGTAATATGGTCCACATTAGAAGGGAAGACTCAAGTTTCATAACAGGGCAATGCTGAATATCAGGCCAATGCATGATTGGCATTAACAAGCCACTCTTCAGTTTTTAAAACTCCAATGTCCCATATTAGTCTCATCGCCTTACTTTTTATTAGAGGATACCCTTAGTTTGCATTATTGGTGTAAAGAAATTTTTTTGCAGCACTCAATGTCATACCTAACAGAACAGTGAACATTTTTACCACAAAAATTGGGCTAAGGTCCCATAACTTGAGGAATTTTTTCCAGCATTTCTTCAGAGCGAAACTGGAAAGATTTACAATGAGAAATCTTTTCAGATGCTCTAGCAGACAAACAGGTTAGTGCATTTGCCTTGCTAATATTCTCTAATACTGCAAATACACCAGTTTTGCATTTAGTACAACTTAACCACAGAATGAGTCATTCAGAAAGCCATACAAACTATTTCTTAGCACCAATCCACACACTTATGGTATTGGGTTTCGCCATTTGCAATATCAAGTTTCAGCTTTGAATACCTGATGCCACAGATACTTTTTTAAAAGGTAGCTTTCTCTGAAAGTGATGAGCGAACACTACAGTGATACGAGTTCCACCTCTCTTCAAGCAGAAGGTTCTGGTACATTCCACCCTTTTTGTTTCTCAAGTACATGGAACTAGGATTTATCTGTGGCAGCAGCAAGGTTCACAGGACGCTGTCTTACAGCATTTGTTGAAGAGTTTCTGTCTGCTAACTCTTTATCCTCTGCTTCATCATCTGAAAGATCCTCCTCATCTGCTTCTTGTTCTTCATCCAGTTTTTTCAAGAGCCGGGCTGATTCTGGTGCTAATTTTTCTTAAAGAGAAAACAAAGTACTTTCATCTCAAGACCTATTTGTTTGCGCAACACCAAACAGGTCTGTCTAGGAATTCCCATACACATGAACATTAACTGCAGTGGTTTAGACATAGCAATTATATTAACCACAAACCAGCAGAAGTCGGGAATTCCAATATTAAATGTAAAATGCCTAAAGAGATTCATTGCCACCAAAGGAATTATGTCACTTGTGTTCCTGGATTACTGAGTAAATATAACCTGGCATAAGACTCCCTCAGGTTCGGGACAGGGAACCTAAAAGCACCAGTTAGAGGTACATGGGGCTGAGCCTTCTCCTCACATGTCTTTATAACACTGATTAACCAATCCCCATTGGTACCACACCTCATTTTAATAGCTCCCAGTGAAGCATCGTAAACTGAACTGTTGGATTATGTTAACAGATGTAAACCCCTCCTCCTTTGAAGATGAGGCATGTCTTCTTTTGTCCTCAATCTGACTACCAGTTCCAAACTGGAATTGAACTGAAGCGTGTTGAAGTCCAAACTTTTAATTAATTTAATTATTAAATAATTGAGAGGGTGAGGGAGGAAATAGCCTCCAAATATCTAAATGTTCCAAAAGCTACTTTCACCATCTGAAGTCTATGGTAAACAATATCCTCTCCTAACCCCAGTCATGATCCTATTATGAAGCCTAGACACTAGATAATCACAGTTAAAGTGCAACATCACTGACCAGCAAAAAGTCAACATTTTAGTGAACGTTTCATGGCCAGCAATCATAAGCCTCATATTATATACCTGTTTTATCAAACGAGGATTTACGCACTGGCTTCCTCGAACAAAATGAAACCCTTAGAAACATATAACATGCTTACTTTGATAGTGGTGCTGCTGCGGTCTGTGCCTTTTGGATGGACAGAGACAGTCTGCTAAAAATACCATGATCTGAAAAGAAAAAGTTTTCATTCAATAATTCTGAACTTCTACATTGCATTAATCCACCATGCTGTATAAAAAACGGCTTTTGTTTCTCATAACTGAAATTTTTTCACTTACAAGTCCAAGTATCAGTCCTGAAAACAGAGTTGCCAATGCAAAAATAGCATATGATCCCCAAACTGGCATACCAACATTTTCTGTAAAGTAATTGTGGCAATTCTAAAAAGAAAGACAGACATTAGTCATTTCAAGAATGGCAAAATACCAAGTTTTTCTTTATTCAAGTTAAAAAAAAAAATCAGACTTGCAACACATACCCTGATCCACATGGACAACTGAAACAAAGCAGACATACTGCTCATCCTGAAATAAATCAGAAGAGAGTGAAACTGGAGACTGCAATTTTTTTTATTTTTTTTTTAAGGTCAAATCAGAAGCACACAGATCTATGAATCTCCCATTCTGATTGCTATTCATCAGACCTACACTGAGCAACGTTGGTTTTGCAATCATCCCAAAATATTAGGCTGCTTTCCAACCACTTCTCCTTTGCCCTTTACTCTGAAATAGTTAGAGCTCTGTGCGGATACAAAATATGTATCCGCATCTGATCCATGATCCGCAAGCATGCCCAGCGGATATCCGCATCCATGGATACGATGCCGATAGCCACAGATTTGCAGGGCTTTAGATATAAAATTTGGATCCACTTCCATCCTCAAGTTGCAAAAATCCACATCTGCGAATGCAGATATCAACCGGATATCTGCAGATTTGCAGGGTTCTAGAAATAGTCTTCCTCTCAGGAGATGGGCATTATTTGGTACCTGAGTATATTTCTTCTGCAAGCTTCTGAAGGACATTTACAGATTCCACACACCATGTAGAACTTGCACCTGCTGGCCTATGCATTTTAACTCTTTATTTGTTAATGCACTAGACTTTGTTCCTCAGGGCAAACATAGCCTATACAGTACCAATTATGTTTGTATTCAAGTAACTAATACGATCCAAAAAGCATCGTAATGTGACATTGAGACTGCAGAGTTACAATAAAAGTCAGGGTATATAAAAGCAATGGTTCCTATAGCAACGCTAGCTTGGCCACAATGCACATATAGAAATATAAAATATTGCATATAAGTATCAGAGTTATTGGTGTAGGAATTCTAGGTTTTTGCATTTCCTGATCTTTCATTGTTACCATGCTATCTTTGCACTGCTGTAAGTAGTATTCAATTCAGCCCCAGCGCGTGGTTTTCATTTGTGTTGTTTTGTTTTTTAGGAAAAGCAAAGCTAAAAGGTGACATGTTGAAAAGTTAAGCCACTTTCCGTACTTAAGTGTGCATTTATGAAAAGAGACATGCACAGCGACTAAGGCACAAACATTAAAGATATCGATTGTACACTTGCAGTAGTCATTTTTCTGTTGACCTTAATTTAATTAGTAGCCTGTGTGTGTCATACTTGGTTGTGGACCAATTCTTTCATTAAGATTAGTTGCACACCAAGTTTCCAAAGCTCAGGTATCTTGACTTCTGAACAAAGTGATTGATAGCTTTTAAATGGGAGAAGTATTCTTACACCTTCGTAAAACAGATGTCACAATTTTCCTTGGCCTTTCAAAAACAAACACACCCCCACACCCACAGATTTCAGGCCTAAAGGGGACTGCCCAGAAATACTGAGCAGGACTGCAATTGAACCTGACATTATTCTAACTGCAGAAAGGCTGTAATATGAACACAGTATTTGTATTTTTGTACAGAAGAGCTCAAATATCATTGTTTAGACTGTGTCAC